GGGGGTGGGATACTCGATGCTGAGCGCACCCTCCCGCACGTTACCGTGGCGCGTTGGGTGCTATGCGCATCGTAGATCGATTATTTCTGGCAGGTTGATGTTGATGTCAGTGTCCGATCGCGTGGCGTGGCGCTTGTCATCTGCCAGATACAGAAACACGTTCATATTCTCTCTTTCTATCTATATCTATATCTATCTATATCTATATCTATATCTATCTCTATATCTCACTATCTCTATCTCTCTCGTGATCTTTTGAATGTCATATAAATACGAAAAGTGTCTGTGTATGTGGATGCTGCTGCAGCGATCTGATAGTAGCCATTGCTTTCTCTTCAGATTTCCACAGGAACTCGCCGTATGTGATAACAGGCAGCGTCGATCAGAGCGTCAAGGTATGGGAGTGCCGTTAGTGCCACCTGCTGGGTGGAATAGGCAACAGCGGACGGACAAGCAAGTCGCACTTCGGCGCTCGTTCGTTTTAGTCGAGCGTTCGAGCAACAATCTTTGGCGCGTAACATATTCCCCGCTTTCCCCGAGCAGTGTAGACTTTCCGTCATCGTGAGGTGCCGAGATCGCGCGTGCGCCTGCGCCGCAAAACTCTCTGTCCTTCTCCTCCGTGTGTCGCGGGCTGTTTCTCCGACGATTCCGCAGCTTGGTCGCTTACCCGCAGAGTAAAAACTCGTGGGCGATGTGCCCTGTGCGAGGTTGAAAATCTACTCGTGGTGCACACACACACACACCGTGCGTTGTACGTACGTGTGGTTTGTGCACACACCATGTGGGGTATGCTTGTCATCATGTGTGGTATGTGCCACACATGCCGTTGGTATGTGCACATCAATAGTTTGTGCGAGTAACACACTAAGTGTGTGGTTGTGCCATCATTGTGTGGTATGTGTAACATGAGCTGTGTGGTGACTACACACATTATCGTGTGAGTATGTACACCATGTGTGGTATTGCGCCACCCATGTGCTGGTATACACACACCAGTGTGGGGTATCGTGCAGCGCCATGTTGTAATACACACCGATGTGGTGTATTACCACACACCATGTGTGGTTCTAAACACAGTCATGCCATGCGTAGGGTTGCCACATCATGTGTGGTATACACACACCATGTGTGGTATACACACACCATGTGTGGTATACACACATCATGCGTGGTATACACACACCATGTGTGGTATACACACACCATGTGTGGTATGCACACCATGCGTGGTATGTGCACACCATGCGTGGTATGTGCACACTATGTGTGGTATGTGCACACCATGTGTGGTATACACACAACATGCGTGCGGTATGTGCCACACCATGCGTGGTAGTGTGGGCCACACCACCACTAGTGTGGTATACACACAACATGTATGAGACTAAAAGAGCTATCATATTCTATAGTGTGCGCACCACCATGCGACAGATTGCTTAGTAAATTTCATCTTAGGCAAGCCTCGTCTATAAATATTTATTAGGGTGCAAAACTTGTATAGTTTTCGATTGTGCTTGCTTCTTTCTCCCTTGTGCGGGGATCCCATAACTCTGTGTGCACGTCACCATTTACCGCCGGAAAGACACCCACCGGACACAAGTCCGTTCACCATTAAACGTGATGTCTATAGATTGACCGCACGCTAACTTGAGTGGAAACTGGGAATTTCCCGCGCGTCCGTGTCGGCGCGTGTTTCGCGGTGGGTCGACCGGGAAATTTCTAAACTCCCGCAGTCGCCGTCGACGCGAATTCGGTTTGTGCGTGCGGCGTACGTCTGAAGTACGAGAGGCGAGTTAACTGCGTTTGATTCCAATAGCGGGTTGTCTAACTACTGTTAGAAAGCACGTCTGGTAGGTTCTACCGATGCTGCGTTGTGTAGGTTTTCATTGGAAGATTCTCACTATTGTATGACGTGATCCGCCATGTTGTTGCTTGAGCACTAGCGCCGCCCGCACACAGTTAACGTTTTGCGAGCGATGAATGGATCGGAATCACACACAGAGCTAAGCCATCACGTTTTCTAGGGTGATTTTGGAAGGGCGAACATTTTCTAGCCGATATATTTTTGAATCGAAAAAATTCCCTCTGCGTAGACGTGAGCTGGAAATCGTGGGCGCACTACTGATTCGGTCGTCACGGAAACATGCATGCTCGCTTTTTGGTGTTTACTCGTGTACTGATGGTATTCGTCGTATTATACTATGAACACTGAAAACTTAAAAAAGATCTATGTATTGCAGTTGTAAGTATATCTAGTATATCTCCTATGATATGTGCGCAGAGGCAGACATGACGATGCATTATCCTCTTAGGTCATACTTGAATAGATGTTGAGACATTGTAGACCTTGGCCTAATATGTATGTATGTACATGTATGTGTTTGTGTGTATGAAAGAGAGCAGAGACTATTACTATTGCTAATCTAGAAACTGACGTGTTTCACCTCTTGGCCACATGGTGGCGCCACATGTGTATTTACTTCCAGCGTCTGCACCGTGACAAGACTTGCCGATCTACGTTGCCTATTTTCCTACCCATCGCTAGGTTTTATGTTGTGTATAATTTTGTAAATTAGTAGTAAGCTTGCTTAAGAAATTCTTTATTAGCATGATTATGAGCAAGAAGACGGTCGGAAATTGAAGTAGAGGTACGTCTCCTCGTTGACCTGGTGTCCGACCTTCAGTCATTACCAAGGTCGGAGGCCTCTGTGGTTCGTTTTCTCGAACGGAGAGAGAAAAGCTGAAGGCGTTTTTCTGCCGTTTTGCCATGATTTTTATCTAGTTAATTTGTGCGTCACACCGTGTAACTCGTTTGCGGAAAACAGGAAGGCTGACCGAAACCGGAATGCTAACCCGGAAGCGGAATGCTGATCCGGAACCGGAATGCTAACCCAGAAGTGGAACGCTGATCCGGAACCGGAATGCTGCTCCGTAGCGCTGCCGCACGTGTTGCTGGGATGCGTAACTAAAGCAGTAGAGTGGACCAGAGCGGCTCTCGTGGCAATGGCATTTGTCATTTTACGATGACCCATTGTTTGTTCGCAGTTCTCTGCTTTAGTCGGGTGTAGCTGGTTGCCGTTCTACTATACCGGCTTTCCAGCAATGCATGTGGTTGTGCAGGCCCTGTTTTGTAAAACTAGCGTGCTGCCACCTATCGGCCAAAAACAGCACTGCTCAGTGGCTTCACGACCAGAATGCGCAGCGAGAGCAAATGCTTTGTTTTACGATACAAACACCTGATGAAGAGTTTATATATTCAAACGTTAGGACACAAATGCAAGACCGCGAGAGAAAGAGAGCGAACGAGATTGAGATAATCCTCACTGTTGTATTCATCATATGTATAGTTGTACTGTTTCGAGAAATTTGCCCCTTGTTATAATACGATATATTACGAGCGGGGCGTCCAACGGCACACATGCGCGCGCGTCTGCCTGCTAACCGTATAGTCTAAACTACTACTATTACTACTACTACTACTACTGTAACTACTACTACTACTACTACTACTGACTTCACTACTTATCACTGTGTGCTACCTTTCAATGTTCTTTCTGCCGCCCCCCCCCCCCGGGCAACAAATCATCGCGGCTGATTAGTGGTAGCTTCTCTCACAGATTCTCTCTAGATAGCACATCAAATACGTACGTAAACATCTCCCCCCCCCCTCCCCCCTCCCCCCTAGAGAGAACACTGCTGCCCCACGTGGTCGTGGGTTCACCCGTGCATGAGTGTGTAGTAGCGAGGGTAGATCGGAGTGTGAGGGCGGCAAGGTATTAGTCAAGGAGTTTGGTCAGGAGGGTGGGGGGCGAGAAAGCAACAGCTGCTGCCACCTATGTTTACTCGTAGAAACGCTTGGCAGTGTTGCTCACCGTATATTCCCCGTGTAAGTTACACTGCCGTATGTGCAGCTCTACATGTACACAATACGCAGTGTGGGGTGTGCCGGCAACCGCAGCTTTTGTCTATATATTACCATGGTATCAACCTTCGTTGCTGTACTATATAAAACCTCCTCCTCTGCACATAGGCGCAAACGGAAACGTTTGACCTGTGATATATAGATGGAATTTTCCTATCCTTTCTGTTTCTTTAGACTAGTTGTATTTCCTCGTTGCTTTAATTGCTGGTTTTTAAGATTTTATTCGATGAAGTCCAGCTTGTAAATACTGAACGCCAGTCGTAGCAGGTGTGATAAAATAAGAGTGATGTTTAATGAAGTTATAATTTATTCGCATAACAATCCAGCACACACACACGTACACACCACTCACTTACCCCACCACGTGATCTCCGTAAATCTAGCACACCATGCGAGGAATGAAAACTCTCGAAGCTTCCCCCAGGTTTCCCCGAAGCCCCAGTTTTACCCGGAATGTTCCGCGGGGAGGAGGACCAGCTCCGGCAGCCTCCGTCGCAGGGAGCATCCCGGGGAGAAATCCCGGGTGAAGAGAATTAGGAAAGCAGGCAAAAGGAGCCTGTCGCGCAGAGACACTGTAGTCCCATATGCATGTGATGATAATATACGGCGTGGCAGCGGCGGCGGCGGCGGAGCGCGGCAGGGAAGGAGCAGGATCGGGAGAGAGGGAGGGATGTGTGTGTCTGCAGGGAGAGGGATTGTCGCGTCATCACCACCGAGCGGTTGCGTGCATGGCATCCCCGTACGCGACTGTCAGGACGAGCGCGTGTGTGGGGTCATTATCGAGTTCAAGGTCATTAACGAGCTCAAGGTCGATGGTGGCCTCACTGTACCATCATAAGAATGGCACGAGTGTGCTGACGTGGGAGCGTTTGAGATTTTAACGGTGCATCGCCCAGTAACCGCTCGGTGGTGGTGCGTGGGTGGGTGGTGGTGAGTGGGTGGGTGGGGGTGAGTGCGAGGGAGGGAGTTGTCCGACTGCCACGCATAGCTGTACAAGCCGTAGTATTTGCCACAGTAAAAACGTTCTCTTGAAGTGATATCTCTCCGTCTTGCTGTTTTTTTCATGAATTCCGTTTTTGTTGTTGTTGTTGTTGTTGTTGTTGTTGTTGTTGTTGTGGCTATATGCGTTGCTCGTCGCGGCGTGTTAGGCGTGCGTAATAGAAAGCGAAGAACAAGCGAGTCGCATCGGTCGTGCGTTTAATTTACTACCAAAGACAACGTATGGTATCAAATTTGCAGTCTGTATGGGGTAACAAACTGCAAATTTGATCCTACATCAAACTGGTCCGGGCCAGGCGCGCGTTAAATTTTTGCAGTGTGTACATGCTATCCCGCTCCAAATACGCGCTGGCCCGCACCAATTTGACCCCGCAAATGTAGTAGGGCCCAGGGCGCCGGGATGAAATTGCGCCGCGGACGGAAGTTATTCGCGCGCGTCGATGGAATTGGGTCTGTACGCAACCGGTGCTAGCGTGCGACCGTAATATTTGCACAATGCCGCATGTGCATAGCATTATTATAGGTCACATAAAAGTCGAGTAGCTGTCTGCGGGGTGACGTAGCGAGGCTGAACGGAGCCTGCGCAGTCAACCCGGTGAGGCTTCATCTTTGATGTGGGCATTAAATTTCCCGGTGGGTTGGCCCACGGATGACGGTGCTGTACGCGCTCCACGATCTTGAAAGCCGAACATCATCATTGATGTACGGATGCAAATTTCTGTTAGGTCCACAGGGTGCTCTACTCCTGTGTCGGCTTCCCCGACGGCGGGCTGCGCTCTCTTTCTCTCTCTCTTCTCTCTCTCTCTCTCTTCTCTCTCTCTCTCTCTCTCTGCTCTCTTCTCTCTCTCTCTCTCTCTCTCTTCTCTGCTGCTCTCTCTCTCTCTCTCCCTCTCTCTCTCTCTCTCTCTTCTCTTCTCTCTCTCTCTCCTCTCTTCTCGTCTGCTCTCGTCTCCTCCTCTCTCTCTCTCTCTCTCTCTCTCTCTCTCTCTCTCTCTCTCTCTCCTCTCCTCTCTCTCTCTCGCTCTACGCTATCGCTCTCGCTTCTCGCATCTACGCTCTCGCTCTCTTCTCTCTCTCTCTCTCTCTCTCTCCTCTCTCTCTCTCTCTCTTCTGCTGCTCCTCTCTCCTCCTTCTTTTCTCCGCTGGTTCATCAGCTCACAATCTTTGTAATACTTCAGCGAAGCTTCCAACGACTCGGCCGCAGTGTAGACTGGCTCGTACTCCAGCTCTCTCCTTCCCTTCGCGCCATCGAAGTACAGACTCATGTTCGTGTAGAACAGACTGCGTGAGTCTCCGCCACCGAGTTCCACCCGCCAGAGGGGGCTGACGAGCCAGATCGCGGGCAGCCGAGCTCGACCGCCCTGAGAGCGTAGTATGTCAGGAAGAAGGGCAGGCGGTAGTTAGAGACTCCGTAACCACGCGATTCGAGGAACGGTCGCACAAAGTCATATAGACTCCCCAGCGGCGTGTCGTCCGGAATGAAGTAGATGCCGCCACCCAGCAGGGGGCGCCGCCGTAGCGCGTCGATGGCGACGACGTGCGCCCACGCGGCGTTGCCGACATACGCTTGCTGGAAGAGGGCGCTACCGTCTCCCACCTGCCGGATGGAAAACACTTGAACATTCGATGTTTGCATTGTTGGTAATGATGTGGTGCTGTCAGGATCATAGAGAACTAGTTATATATCCAGAACTAGAATATCATCACATAGAACATAGAACCACAGGTCATAGAACTACAGTAGCTCTATGCACAAAACGAAAACTAGCAGATAGAGCTAGTATATAAAAACTGAGAACATAGATCTAAAACGAAGCACTTCGAACAACAACAACGAACGAGTGTATAGAACTAGAACTGATATAGCGCATGATATCATGATAGCATATGAAACTCGGCAGCACATCGAACAACAAAGCTAGTTAGGTACACCCCGATCAGTCATCGTCAATGCAGAATCGCTTCGTTAGCATTTCATTAATGAGTTGTCATTAATTATTCACGCCATCAGCAGTCGGTTTTGATTAATTGGTGAAAAATGACGGGACCTGTTTATCGAGCACTATACAGCTCCCTGCGCCTTAATAATTTACGCGGCAAGATGTTTTGTGAAATGGCAATCTCAATGAAACGTTTTACAGGAGAAAATGTGAATTAATGATGTGAATTTCTGCCACGACGTAAATTAAAAGAAAAGCAGCTAGAGTAATAAATAATCAAAACCGTCCGATTTCGTCAGGTCTTCATGGAGATGTGTAATGTAATCGCGATATGGCTCATTCTGTTCAACTACCTACAATACCATCTACCAACAGTTATACTCATTAATAGGTCAACAAGTCAACAAGTCAACAGGTCAATAGAAGTCAACAAATAAACCAAAGAATCTATTGTTTCTGGATTTTTGGACTCTTGCTAGAAGTGCAAGTATACGATACAGAAACATATTTCATATTCATGCGAACAGCATGCAGTTCTTTTTCAATTCTATAATACGTACACGTTATTGGAAGGCTAATGTGAAACGAATCCAATATTATTATGCCCTTCTCACGCTATAAAATAATGGCGAGAGGTCGTGAGGGCACGACTGCACACGACTGCATGCTACCTGTCTCATACCTGGGGCAGCTGTCCTCTGTACTTCTTGGCGGCTTTAAGGGCGTTGATGACGAAGTAAGGGTCCAGTTCTCCGTACATGACGTTGCATCGGAGAGCAAGTGTGTGCAAGGTTTCTCCTGCAGGAAGAAGCAGAGAAGCTCGTGAGACCTCGCGTGAGAAATGTACGGTGGAAGTGATGCACGAGCTGACCTGCAGTGTACACACTTTCTATTCGTCTTTCTCTAGCGTTTTATATATCGGTTCGTTGAGAGGAAGGCTAGATATCGGTACCAATAACATGAGTAACGCATGAGAAAGCCATGTCAATGGTAGCACACAGAAATAAACAAAAATATAGGAGAGGAAGTAAGGGGAGGGAGCTGCACATTCACAGGCTACCCACCACCATCATCTCGCTCGGCTTTCACCATCCCAGCCTCCACCAGCACCGCCCCCACTACCCC